CTTCTCAAGATTGTGAATATAAGTTACAAAATTACCTGTACACATTTAGACCATCATTCGTCCATAAATGATGGCAAAATTTTATCACATGACGGGAAAATTTTATCACATGACGGGAAAATTTTATCACATGATGGGAAAATTTTATCACATGACGGGAAAATCATTTCAGATTCATCACAATTGTTAAACTCTGAATATTCACTTTTGCCATCGGGAAGACATTGAAAAATAATACTTGAAATGTTTTTAAAATATACTTTCATGGACACTGATATATATCTGTACATTTGTTGAGTTAGTGTATGTGATTTATAGGAATACAGAAAAGTGTGCATATATGACTTGTATAATTATGTGTGTTGGTGTGTATTGAGCGTGTGGATTAATGGGTGTATTAATTTTATATTTGTGTCCATATTACAGTCCGTTTGGCTCAAAAGCGGACCGATGAATTCAATCTAACTCGAAAACTAATAAACATAACATGCTCAATGAAACGCTGATCATAATCAAAACATCATACCCACTCTGTGTAGAGTTTTTGCAGAAGTTTTGTCCTAAAAATAATAATGTTGTTTAACAATCTATCATTAAAATATTGACACAGTACACTGTTTGTTACGAGGGAGGAGTGCAGAGAAAGGGACAGCCAGGTGTTATTTATGCATTAACCTGTGCTGTGCCGTCTCCATCCGTTCTCGAACACCTGGCTGTCCCTTTCTCTGCACTCCTCCCTCGTAACAAATAGTGAACTGTGTCAATATTTTAATGATAGATTATTAAAAAAATAATATTTTTAGGACAAAAATTCTGCAAAAACCTCACAGAGTGGGTATGATGGTTTGATTATGATCAGCGTTTCATTGAGTATTTTATGTTTATTAGTTTTCGAGTTAGACTGCAATTCATCGGTCCGCTTTTGAGCCAAACGGACTATAATCATCTATTATCGTAATTGCCATACATACTTTATTGTATCATGCTCTGTTTGATGCAAAAGGAATTCCCTTTCGGGTAATAAAGTGTTGTCTCATCTTATCTTATCTCACGTCACGCCTGGGCTAACAAACTGAACCTGCTATGAACACGCATGTTCAACCCTGATAGGGCCTCATTGCTGAGTCGGTCACTGTGACCCAACAAAGAGCGTTGTCGGCGATGTGCCTTGCTACCAACAGTATAATTACGTAACAAAGAAATAAATGGACAGTGTCTTTCTGTGAGCGCTTTTTCTAACGGTACATGAATGGCGTTACTGACTTTCAAGTTATATGAGGCGTAGCAGTCCGTGCTGTTAGTTTCTGAAAGTAGGTCAACCATAGAGCGAAATGCTCGTGAGCGCTAACAACAGCCATTGATCGCCACATCAGCAATGCTTACACCGCTTAGCTTCACTGTTCACAAGAAAATCAATCCTTTTGAAATACATACCAGTGCTTTTACAGACAGTGGGCTTGTCCCTTGGCGATTTTTGCTTGATATATCGTTGAAGCAGTTCTGCTTGCTTTGTGCGGGGAGTAAACACACTCCTTACCGCTCTCAAGCTTAAGTCGGGACGTCAGCTGCACAAGCAGTCTCTCTCTCGCTTAGGGTTGTGTGGTTTGAGCTTAGTCGCGAACCAACTACGAATGTGGATTTACGACTGAAGGAAATCATTTTACAATTCTTCATGAATATATGTAAATGGAAAGGAACGTTTTTATTCCATGTTTTCATGTTATTTAAGTTAAGAGGTGATAAGAATTTTAATTTTAATATATTTGATATTCATTTGTAACTTGAAACATGTTGTGTGTACAATATTAGAAACAGAAGTATGCATATGACGATTTAATCAATATTTTAGAATCAGATAGACCTACTTTGGTTGTATTTTTAATAAAAATACAAATATCAGTAAAATGATATGTTTTATACATGTATAATCATAAATGAAAGAATAACACGACATATTTCTATGGCTGTAATCAAGATGTTTAATTGAGCATGTGATCAGCAAATAATTAAATAGGCATTATTATTATTTTACCCAAATATTACAAAACCAAAATTACCTTTCGCGTATTATAGGTCATCAGACACGGCATTATTTTTTGTTTACGTTTATTTTTGTAAATCACGTCTTGTGAAAGTACTTTCTTCTTAATGCACACAAGTATCGGGTTATAGTTTTACCGTTTTGTATTGTTTTGCATTCACATTTCTTTCCATGAAAAGGGTAATTTAACATACAGATGATTGGCGAAATTCATAATCATTGTGGTTGTATTTTATAATGTACTGTGAATTCGACAGTCATTTTCCGTTTCTTTGCTTCCGTTGTTTTCTATGCAAGCACTTGTCATGACGTGACCTCTGACCTCAACGACATTCCAACATGGCGACCCGCTGTGTTTGTGTGAGTTGTGCTCGTGTGGTAAGTCACATTCTGTTGTTTCCGGAAATTGTGTCGAAAAAATTGTAAGAAGACTAGACGGTCATAAGTTACTTGTTACTTCACTTAAATCTCATTGAAAAATAGTATGTCTTTGAAACACAAACATTCTTTTTACATCTTCGAAATGTGTTCAACCTGTCAATGTCATTGTTGGGCAGCGAGTATCGTACGATGAGCTTTGTGAACCACGCGCCACTCAGAACGTGACTGTGAGACTAAATATAACACGACTAAGATTATTATGGTTCCTGTCACGTCTATGTGTTCAATGGTCCTGATAATCACCTCACAAAATATTGTACGCTGATTCATTGCTTCGGCAGTTCAGATAATGGCATTGCACGAGCACTGTATAAAAAAATTAAACCCGGCATTGCCCCTCAAAACTTAATTAACTTGCCTGCAGAAATTAGTGACCTGTAACAGGCTTGATTTTTAGCAGATGATCATTTCATGTGTCATATAGAACAATTTTTTATGGATAACAACTTCTTTATTCCGTGAGTGCGACGTTTCGATACAGATTCTTGTACCTTGTCAAGCAAGAGTGATGTGTCTATTCATAATAAGCAAGCAAGGGGCAGGGGGTTAGCCAAGTGGTTAAGGTGTTGGCCCGTCACACCAAAGACCAGGTTTGATTCTCCACATGGATAAAATGTGTGACGCAGATTTCTGGAGTCCCCCCCCCCCCCCCACTGTGATATTGCTGGAATATTGCTAACAGCGGCGTAAAGCCATATTTTATGTTGTTATTCATTTGTATTTTCGTCAAGCTCTGTGAACCAAAACGAATTCCTTTTAACATGTTTAAGGTAATACAGTATTGTCTGTCTGTCTGTCACTCACTAATAATCAGCAAGATAGGTCGATCAGGTACATATGCAAGTGACCAATTACCAATTGTGCAATGTTTGTTTGGTGCTATCACGTTATTGATAAAACTATGTCGCTGTTGTAGCTTTTAGCTCACCTGCTGGGTCAGCATCAATCTTAGCAGCTCATCACAAGAGACAAATAAATTTGAACAAGTGATCATGGTGATCTGATTTGATGATTTGATTTCATATATATTTTCATCATATCAATCACTGGTTTGTCTGGCCCAGGCCTAAAAAAAAATGTTGTGGTTCCGATTACCCGACCGACCCTTAAATTCTGGTGCCGACCCTATTTTTTTTAAGTGGTATGAATAAAATAAGCTTTCAGATACCATTGTTTTTGCCCGGCACCAATGGACATTGGTCCTTCTGATAGAGAAAGTCGACATTATGGCCGCAAGCTTGATTAAATAAACAATTGTACATTGATATATATATATATATGTGTGTTATTAGTTAAAATGTAAGAAAAAAAAATTCCTACCTACCCTAAATTTTAAAGAGGTGTAATCAGAACCACAACATTTTTTTTATTTGGCCCCAGATATGGCTTGAATATTGCTGCCTGTTTTAAGCAATAAGAAATCTCTGCAGATCTCTGAAAGTACATCATCAGGACATGATATCCTGTGTCAGTCATAACAGACAGCATGGATTGTTGCTCTTGATGTTGACCACTGGTTTGACCAACCTCAGATATCTACAGGTCGTCATGACACAGTCCAATTATTGTTTACTCAGCATTATCAATATTCACTCGTTCATGAGGGTCGGTGGGGTAGGGTTCGCTCATCACGTCAAAGACCCGTGTTCGATTCCCCACATGAGTACAATGTGTGAAGCCCATTCCTGGTGTCCCCCGCCATGATATTGCTGGAATATAGCAAAAAAGTGGCATAAACCAAACTCACTCATTCATGTCTTTTTGTCTGCAGATGTTATGAGGCTGTGTACCCCACCTGCCTCAATGCCTTACGTCTGTGATATTACCTGTGTGAGCGACACCCTGACGAGTCTGTGTCGCCTAGTCAACCATAATGAAAGGAAAACTAGTAAGCCACGCCAAACTACAGTACTACCGACACAACTATTGCCTCGTCTGTATGACAGGCATGCTGGGATGCCGGTGGCATCGATACAAGCAGTCTACAAGAGATAGTCGCAAGGTAAGGAGAAGCTCATCTTATGTTTAAACCATGCTTTTGTATAATATTGAACAAACTTTACGTGGGGAGGTCAGGGTTACACACCACCAAATGTTTTCCCATAGACTTCTATAGTAACCTTATAATTTTTTTAAAAATAGACAGGCTATCAACAGCCATTCCATGTACACATGGGTACACTCTGGCCTTTAAACTACCATAAAACACAATATCTGGCCAACTTGTCCGGCTCGTTTTGCGAGCACAGGAAGCGGAACACATCAACCCCAGTTCCGCACCAAATGTCACCTACTAGAAAATATCTGTACACACAATAAGCATAAGTGATGGTGATAAAAATGACAGCACTAAATACTTAAAATTGTGGTCAGTTTTAATTACTGGTTGGATGTGCTTTTTAAAAAACAAACATCTTACACTATTTCATCCAATCACAGCTGTCACATGTCTCTGTCTCTCTTGACTTGTTTACATACGGACCAGCTCAGCGAGCAAGCGATACTGATTTAGTGTAGTGGAACCTATAGGAAAATTTAGAAACATTTGCCCTAGGCAAATCTGTGATTTATGTACTGTATATACATGTAACTTCTCAGAAAAAATATAAAATTGCATGAAGCTTCAATACTTTTTCCTGTCCAACATATCTATATGGCACAAGAATAGAGTGATTTGCTGCACTGAGAGAGCTGTAAGAGTTATATCATGTCTATTTCACCAAAGCTATACAAAATGCACTTCTGCATTAATAGAGAAAGTTTTCAAATCATACATATACCATGGGAGTGTACTCTTATTTCACAAAAGAAGGGGGACCATGGGTTAATTCCATGCATGACTGGGACTGCCTTGATCATATCAATCCAAAATATATTTTGAACGACAAAAATCATGGAATTCAGGCCAGAAATTGGACAGGTTTAACATTAAACAGCATCAACATCCTGACATATGTAAGGCTGGATGATGAACTTTGCCAGAATGTAATAAGTGAGGGGTTGGATTATGCCTAGCAGTCTGAAACACTGACCACAGTACCCTGCCGCCTGTTAGTCGATCAAGGCAAATGACCCCTTCAACAGATGAAATCACTTTTAAACCACAGCATGATAAGAACTTACACTTGAATCTATTGATTCATCAAGCTAAGACTTTGAAATACTTCCAGAAATTCAAAATTATTGACTGTGTATCGTTTTGAGGCTGTTAGACTTGCCAATTTCATGTATAAGCCAGTTTAGAGGGAACAAAGTGAAAAAATCCACACAACTTTGGAAATTTATTGGTTACCTTGCCCTAAACTGTATATTTTTAATTACAATTAACAGTGTTTGGCAATATCAGCTAAAAACAGAGCTTCTCTGCAGTAATTTATGGGTTACTGGGTTAGAGAAAGACACAATGTATCTGGGTAAACAGGGGAGATAATTTTAAGATATCGAACACTCTCATGTCAATAAAATGTGAATTCAGACCCATAATATTACATTCCACAAGGGTCAGTTGTTATTATTTACATCTAAGCAGCTTCTGGGATTGATGTACAGCCCTTATTTCATGTCTGGGAAACTGAAATACTACACACTGAGGCATTAAGGGGACACTGTCAGAAATTTCTAATGGATGAGGATGACCGAGTGATGGAATTTGGTAGTGAGACATTGTGGTGCCTTAACTGGACTGGGACACTTAAATGTACTATATGTACCTACATGTCCAAGTACTGCAACTTCTACAAGGCGGTAAAGCATATCGAAGCAAAGGGAGTATGCTTGATTAGACACTGCCAACAACAGACTTCGGGCCGGCTTGTCAAAATACCACATTGGATGTGAAGGCTTCTTTTTCTGCTGTATTTGTGAAGATACACCTCCCCATTCACCAACAGGCATTCTACAAGCTGAAAATAGTGTTGAGATTACATTAAATGTCAAATCATAAATCCATAACAGCAATGAGACAGTTATGTTAATAAAACAAAAATTCATTTTGAAAGTCCTATGGGTGAAAAAAGGGGTATATTTTTAAAAAAGGAAAAGAAAATTAGGTCGTTGCATATTCAAAAGGGGACAGACAGAAAGAATTGATCATATGCTACACTGTTTGCATTTAAAACAAGGGTTTGTGACATGTTCTGCTGTCAGCAGTGAACATATTTCATGATATTCTTATCATTTGACTTCAAATTGACCCTCAGGAGATTAACTTAGACACTCACATTGTTGTGGCAGTGGTGATTTTAACCTAATTTGTTGTCAAATTCATCAGTTCCAACAAATTTAGAAGCCAGGGAACCACTACTTGATGGTAAGACTCACCGTGAGGGTCTTTTCCCACTGTTCGACCACAAAACGAAGCAACGTTCATATTCTGGACACTAAAACAATCTATTCCACTCAAAACAGCCCTATCTTTACTCCCAGTACCTTTAAATTTGCCTCTACATTAATGCTAACATGTTTCCATGGTGAAATAAACACAGGAAAGCATGTAAAGTATGAATTACTGAAAAGTGCTCGAACCCTACAGGTTACACACCACCAAATGTTTTCCCATAGACTTCTATAGTAACCTTATAATTTTTAAAAAAATAGACAGGCTATCAACAGCCATTCCATGTACACATGGGTACACTCTGGCCTTTAAACTACCATAAAACACAATATCTGGCCAACTTGTCCGGCTCGTTTTGCGAGCACAGGAAGCGGAACACATCAACCCCAGTTCCGCACCAAATGTCACCTACTAGAAAATATCTGTACACACAATAAGCATAAGTGATGGTGATAAAAATGACAGCACTAAATACTTAAAATTGTGGTCAGTTTTAATTACTGGTTGGATGTGCTTTTAAAAAACAAACATCTTACACTATTCCATCCAATCACAGCTGTCACATGTCTCTGTCTCTCTTGACTTGTTTACATACGGACCAGCTCAGCGAGCAAGCGATACTGATTTAGTGTAGTGGAACCTCAGGCACGGCGGCCATCTTGTTTTGAAAGTCAAACTAATCAAAATTCATCACATTTCGCATTAATATCTCAAACAGTTTTTGACATAAATTAAAAGGGAAAAGTGGTTTTTACTCACTTATGCATGAACTAAAAGAGTGTGTACACTCCTGAATAATAAAATGCATGTACAAAATTAGCCTGACCTCCCTACTTTACAGGTAACAACTTCTGTATTTTGTGAGTGCGACGTTTCAATACAGATTCTTGTTCTGATGTCAAGCCTGTTTTATCCATAAAGTCTGTTCAATATTCTAGGTTCCAACTTTTAAAATGTCACTCAAACAAGTTACGCATTTGTATAGTGTTCGAACTGAGCATTGATAGCAGGGCCCTCTTCGGAAGTGGCCCTCTGGAATTCTGGGTGAGACATTATTACTTTAGGCCTTCAGCAACCAATGTTGATTGTTTAAGGCTCCTTAATGGTTTGGATTGTGCCGTAATTGGTTGTCTCTGTACTTACGGCAGTGATTGTTGTCTAGGACATGAATCACTGGGTTTTCTGGTCCGGATTGTTTCACGGTCATGGTAATATGGTCTGAATATTGCAGAGTGACCCTGCACATCGAACAAGCAGACAAACCAGTTTTAGATATCAATCATAGGTTTATCTGGTCCTGACTGGGCAAGATTATTTAGATGCCACAGTCATATGGCTCGACTATTGCACATTAAGCAAATCCACCAATTTTAAGAATGATGAATCTGAGGGGTACCAAGATAAACTGGATTTAAATCTTACAGTGGAATGTATCTCCATTCAGTTGAAGCCACAGTGACTCTGAATGTGAGGCGTGATCCGTGTGTTGGTAGTACTGGGTATACTTTGTTATCCTAAATCCTTCTTGTAAAGACCGCCTCCGTGGTGTAGTGGTTAGAGCGTCCGCCCGGAGAGCGGAAGGTCGCTGGTTCTATCCCCTGCCCGCGTCATACTAAAATACGTTAAAATGTGGTACTTGTTGGTCCCTGCCTGGCGCTCGGCATGAATGGGTACAACAAGGACTGGTCGGCTCGGAGTCAGTATAAAGTGTCTGAGTGGGATATTCATGCTTCACTGCGGCATGGCATCTCAGTGTGCTAGCACCATAAAACCAGCTTAAGTCTGGGCTAGTACAAGCAGCCGCACATACACATACACACACATGCACGTCGTCATATGAGCGAAATATTCTCAAGCATGACGTTTAACCCAATTACACCTCACCTCACCTTCTTGTATATGGGACAGTAGTGGAGTGGAGGGGTGATGAGCTGATTAGTCGATGATCGCTGTCCCTACCCCATACTACTGTCACTGCGTGTATGCTCCCCTGTCACAATTGACAGATTGCCATATATATATTTGCTGTAAGAGCCAAGCTCCAGTGGGGGCATGTCAACAGGTCCATTTTGAGGTGCATGTTTTAATCCCCTTATCAGGGTGAGTGAGTTTAGTTTTACGCCACACTCAGCAATATTCCAGCTATATGGCAGCAGTCTGTAAATAGTCGAATCTGGACCACACAATCCAGTGATCTACAATATGAGCATTGATCATGTTGATCTAGGCAACTGGGATACGATGACATGTGTCAACCAAGTCAGCGAGCCTGACCCCATTAGTCCCCTCAATTCTAACCCTGGATCTTCACGGGTCTCCCCTGATTAGACTGACTGACTGACTGAGTTTGGTTTTACGCCGCTTTTAGCAATATTCCAGCAACATCACGGAGGGGGACACCAGAAATGGGCTTCACACATTGTACCCATGTGGGGATTCGAACCCGGGTCTTTGGCGTGGACGAGCCAACGCTTTAATATTGATTAGAGAGAGCACAGACCAGTATTACCGACATACAGTACTACAAATACACTTTTCAAACAAAATTTTCTGAGAACTAATATATTGGGTAAAAGAATATAACAAGTTTTGTCATTACTATACTTTAAGCTAACATTTACACAGAAATTCATTCACAATTGATTAAACTCTTTGAAATTAACTGA